GGACCCCCCAAAGTGCCACCACAGGAGCCTGGCATCAGGGATGGCACTGTGGCAGGTGCCCAGTGTCACCCCCTGAGCTCCAGTACCACTCACAGCACAAAAAACTTCGCAAAATCAACTTATTTTCCAATTTTTGGGTTAATTCTGCTCTCCCAGCAGAGCCCAGCTCGGCCTCTCCCCGCTACTGCTCACCCCAAAATATTGAAGACCCACAAATATTTCCCCTCTCCCAAAGGATTCCCAAGCCCATCCCGGCTCCCTCGGGGCGGGATTTAGCTCCTGGGATTCCACATCCATCCCATCCAGGGCTGCCTCTGTGCCAAGATAATTCCAGTATCTCCTGTTTCCGCTGGAGGCAGCCGATGGACAGCGTGGGAAGAGCTGCTGGTGCATCCCAGCGTTCCCCAAACCCCGTCAGTGACATCATTCCCGGCTGGAATTCCAGGCACTTAGGGCACAACCAAGGAGAGAAAACGCCTGGAAATGTAAAGTGCCGTTTATTTATTATTTCCCCTCCTCCCTCCCCCCTCCCCAATGATGAAAATATCGAGTTTAAAAAAAAAAAAAATTAATTGCACCAACAAACCGCTCCATCCAAACTCTCCTCCTCCTTTTCCTCCTCTTCCTCCTCCAAAACCCAGCACCAAAACCTATGGAAAATAGCCCGAATCTTTAGGAACTGTCCTCTTCCCCACTTCCCACAGAAAATAAGAGGCAAAAAAAAAAAATCCCATCACATTGAGCACCCTGGAGCTCCGGAGTGACTTGTCCGGGCGTGAGCTGAGCCAGCAAGCACAGAACCCCCCCAAATCAGGGGTGTGCCCCCCCCTCCCCCAAAACTGGGGTATCCCTCCTAAATCTGGGGTATTCCCCCCAAAAAATGTGGGGTATCCTCCCCCCAGGTTTGCCCTGAGCAGGGCAGTGCCTTCGTCCAGCGCTGGAAAACAGGGAAGGAAAAGGTACACGAAGGGTTTGGGGTTCCCAAGCCCTGGCACTTCATTTTTTTTTGGGGGGGGGGGCTGCAGTGGTGGGACCTGAGCAGAGGCAGAGGGGATTGGC